CCCTAGGGCAGGGCAGGTGCCTGGGCTGTGTCCTGCAGGCAGCTGACTTGCCATAGTGACGTGTCCCTTGTCTATGAGCTGCTTAGGTGGCCCTGCTCCCCCTGTGCATGGCAGAGCACCAACCACTGGGCACGCCACCTTCGGACTCTGCTGGGGCTTTGCTTGCCCACTGCAGCCCTGGCTGCCTGGGGGCTCTTGACACCCTGGCCCCAATCGCTGTTAGTGGAAGCCACCCCCCGGCAGGGATGATGCGTTCCCAGCCCCCATAGCGGTTCTGGCCCTGGAAGCTGTGGCCAGAGCCACAGCCCCCACTGCCCTCCAGGGTCTGCAGGGACTCCGTGGCTGCTGACCTCTGCCTCTGTCTTGCAGGGTGATGGGAGCGCTGACTACGAGGAGCTCTGGTGCCTCACAATAGCCCCAGGCTCTGCGGGCCAGCAGAAGGAGCCCCCTTCTGACGGGCACCCACCCGCTGATGGCCGTGCCATGCCCGTGGGCACTGCTGCTGCCATCCTCAAGCGCATGCAGCTGCAGAAGCCCCAGAGATGCCAGAAGTCACCACCCAGCATGGAGGACGAGGGGGCCGAACTGTGCCTGGGTGAAGGGGAGCCGGCTCGGCGGGCCATCCCACGCCTCTACCCCTCTATTCGCCTGGCCATGCGGGAGATCCGCCGGGTGAGGACGTTCATAAATTTCATAGATGTTTAAGTTTGGAAGGGACCTTAGTAGATCATCGAGTCCGACCCCCTGCCCTGGGCAGGAAAGAGCACAGGGGTCAGACGACTCCAGCCAGGTGCTTGTACAGTCTCCTCTTAAAGACCTCCAGGGTAGGGAAGAGCATCACCTCCCCGGGAAGCCCGTTCCAGATTCTGGTAACCCTTACTGTGAAGAAGGTCTTCCTGATGTCCAACCTAAACCTATTCTCTGTCACTTTGTGGCCATTGCTCCTAGTTACTCCAAGGGATGCCCTGGTAAACAGAGTATCTCCTATTCCTTGCTGTCCTCCCCTGACGAATTTGTAGATGGCCACTAGACCCCCTCTAAGCCTTCTCTGGCGGAGGCTGAAGAGATCCAGGTCCCTCAATCTCTCCTTCTAGGACCCTACCTGCAGGCCCCTAACCATATGAGTAGCCCTCCTCTGGACCCTCTGAAGGTTTTCCACATCCATCGTGAAGTGTGGCAAAACTGACTCCTGCATGGCCCTGGGCAGGAGCAGGGAGGGACTGCAATGCCTGGTCCCTGCCATTGGTCCCTGACATGGTGTCTCTGCTTGGCCCCGCAGCTCTCGTCCGGGCCCTCCGATAGCACCTGGGCTGAGCTGTTGTCCAGCCCCCAGCACTGAGGGTGGCTGGGCCCTGGCAGGAGCAGCGAGGTAAGAGCTGGGCTGTGTGAAGGCTGCCTGAGCCCTATCCCCCTTCTGCTCCCTCTAGATCAGAGTGGGGACAGAGTAGGGGAGCTGCTGGCCTGACGGCCCCATGCTCTGTGCCACAGAGACCAGGGATGGGGTGGTGGCCTGAGCTGGGGGTGGGCTGGACTGTCAGGAGGTTGGTCCTATCTCTGGAGAGGAGAGGAAGGGGCCTGCCCAGCCCGAGGAATCGCGAGGTTGGTCCTAACTGGGGCTACCATAAACTCAGCTGTTCTCTCTGGGTCTGTCCTGAAGTTCTCTCTGGGTCTGGGACCTGCAGCAGGGGCACACCAGTGATGCCTGGAGTCTGGGACCAGCCCGGCTCCAGTGCCCCAGCCCCGGGGTGGGTCTCGGGACTCCTCTGTCCTCACAGGCAGCCCGTAGCTAGGTCAGGCTGATTCAGCAGTGAAGGGAACGAAGCAGTCAGGGGGGTCCTGGGCTCTGGCATGTCCCCCAGGCCTGGCTCTGATGCCCTGGGCATGCCGTGAGAGGCCCCTGCTGTGCCCCGGGCCACCCCAATGCAGAGCTCTCCAGGCTGGCTGTGCTGGTGCTCTGTGTGCTGCACCCACGGTACCTGTCCTGTGCCATGTGCACAGCCCTGTGCCAGCGGGCAGAGCTGGGGCTACCAGGTGCAGCCTCTCCACCTTCCCTGAGCCCTACTTTCTGCCTCTCTTACAGGCAGACCCTGGTCAGCCCATACTCCGGCATTGCAGGGCTACATGCCAGGTAGAGACACCAGGAAGATGCAGCCTCTTCTGTGGGGATGGGCCAGTGCCGTGCCTCTGATCGAGCCAGGGAGAAGAGCTCTGCGGCCAGGCGGGCCTGCTGCCGTTGGGATGCTGCGTGCATCTGCAACCCATTAGGGAGGAGGAGACGGCAAGAGCTGAAGGCCTGGGGCAGCCCTGGGGAGGGGAGAGAATTTGTGCCCTGCCCCTCCCTGCATGGGATGTGCCCTCACAATTAGAGCCTGCGTTGTCAGCCCCTGCCCTCCTTGTCCTGTCTGTGCCTCATTGGGGCGGGTGTGGGACGAAGCAGGATGACGTGCCCGTCTCCCAGCTGCACAGTGTCGCCTGAGGCAGGGGTCCGAGGGGCTGGGCAGCTCCCTCATCTCCAGCTCCCGCGCACTTCACCTGCTGACGGTGACGAGATTCTGTGGCTCAGCCGCTCTCTGCCCGTGGACACTGTGGGGTGGGGGCCTGGCCCTTGGGGCTGCCTGAGACCAGAGCCCACGCAGCAGCAGTGATCGATGGCTGGGGCCAAGGTTTGTGCTGGTGGCACCGTGGAGACCATGTCCTGTTGCTGAGAGGGGCCAGGCTCTCTGCACACTGTTGTGGGGCTGGAGCCCACAGCCACAACCAAGCTGCTCTTCTGGTTCCTGGCAGGGCCATGGCTGCCTGTGCATACTCCGCTGCTCCTGCAAGCACTGCTGTTCCCTGTGGCCACCGTCCTGGCCTGTGGCTCTTGGGCCCTGGAGTGACCACTCTCATCCCAGCTGCTAAGAGGCTGCTGGTCACTTTGTGGGGAAGGAAAAACCCGGCCATGGGAGCAGCGAGCACCACCCAAGCCCCAGGACTTTGACTTGGGCTACTGAAACACTGGGCAGTGGCAGCAGCAAAAGCACCATACGCTTGAGCCAGAGCTAGCGATGCCCAGGGAGCTTGTGCCGCTGCCCTGGGGCAATGAGCATCAGGCAGGCGGCCCTGCTCCCTGCGGGAGTGGTTCCTACTAACCCGGCTCTGGCTTTTGTGCCCTCAGACTTATGCGGACACCCGTGGCCCCTTGTTCTCTGGGCAGGGTCTTGTGTGGCATCACAAATGCACCCAGAGGGGTGAGGACAGTGAGCACGACGGCTCCTGTCTATCCAGGTCCCTGAGCAGGAGTCCAAAGCTGAAGCAGGGTGGATGCAGCCTGTGGAGGAATCCAGCTCCAGCCCACTTCTCGCTCCGGGGCTAGTCTGTTTCCCCCTCTCTCTCGCTCAGGTGCCTGTCCCTCCGGTTGCTAAGCAGACAGCTCTGCCTGCCTGAGGACTGGTGAGGTGAAAGCTCCCTATTGTGTTACCGCCACTGACTTCATGGCATGGGGACGGGCTGGAGCCTCTGTCACTCCGCGAGGTACCGATGATGCTTTTCAAATTGATTGGCCATCATCCAATAACACTTGCTCCTGATTGGATCCAGGGGATGATGTCAAAGACGTTATTTAAGGGCCCCTTCTTCCTGGAAGGGGAAAGCCATATTAGGGAACCTGGGGTAAGTGCACTGCCTCTGGAGTGTTTCTAGGCTCCAGATGAACATGTGAGTAACTTACCTGAAACTTATCTAGAAATACAGCTTACTGTGATGTAGAAGTGTGTCAACCAGCTAATAAGCTGACACTGTTTGCTCTGGGTTATTCTTTGATACTTCTCTATCCTGTATCCTTCCCTAAGCCTACCCTGTTTAACTAATAAAGCTCTCCACTATAACAAGTGTGGTGGAGGGATTGGGCATGCCTTTTCTAGTCCCTATGCTTGGCTGACTAAGGGAAGCTACTGGAAGCACCTCAAGTTCTTGCAGTGGGTCAGGCACCCTCAAAGTCTACCAGGCTTGTGTAGCTGGGGGGCACAGGGCCCAGAGACAGTCCAGACCCCTGGGTGATGGCAGCGGTTACCCCAGGCTTCATAGTTTCATAGTTTCTAGGGTCGGAAGGGACCTGAGCAGATCATCTAGTCCGACCCCCTGCCATGGCAGGAAGAGCACTGGGGTCAAACGACCCCAGTAAGGTGGTCATCCAACCTCCTCTTAAAAACCCCCAGGGTGGGAGCCTGCACCACCTCACTTGGAAGCTGGTTCCAGACCCTAGCCGCCCTGACCGTGAAGTAGCGCCTCCTGATGTCCAACTTAAACCTTCCCTCCGCCAGCTTGTGACCATTGTTCCTGGTCACTCCTTGCGGCGCTCGGGGGAACAGGGACTCCCCCAGCGCCTGCTGATCCCCCCTAACCAGTTTATAACAGGCCACAAGATCCCCCCTCAGCCTTCTCTTTTGAAGGCTGAACAGGTTCAGGTCCCGCAACCTTTCCTCATAGGACCTACCCTGCTGTCCCTTGATCATACGAGTGGCCCTCCTCTGGACCCTCTCGATGCTGTCCACATCCCTCTTAAAGTGCGGCGCCCAGAACTGGACGCAGTACTCCAGCTGCGGCCTGACCAGTGCCGCATAGAGGGGGAGGATCACCTCCTTGGACCTGCTCGAGATGCATCTGTGGATGCACGACAAGGTGCAGTTGGCCTTCCTAGCTGCCTCCCCACATTGCCGACTCATGTTCATCTTGGAGTCAATAATGACTCCCAGATCCTTTTCCACCTCCGTGCTGACAAGAGGGGAGTTCCCCAGCCTGTATGTATGGTGCCGATTGTTCCTCCCCAGGTGCATCACCTTACACTTGTCCGTGTTAAACCCCATCCTGTTCTCCTCTGCCCATCCTTGTAACCTGTCTAGGTCCAACTGTAGCCTGTTGCTCCTCTCTATTGTGCCCACATCCCCCCACATCTTAGTGTCATCAGCAAACTTGAACAGGGTGCTTTGCACCCCCTCATCCAAATCACTGATGAAGATGTTGAACAGGGCGGGCCTAAGGACCGAGCCCTGTGGGACCCCACTTCCCACGTCCTTCCAGCTTGCGGGTGTGCTCCAGGAAGGGGGCGTAAGGGGCCCCAGGGGAGGCCCTCGGAGCCTGGTGGGGAGGGGGGGGTACAGTGAGGTGGGTGGCTCAGCACAGAAGCGCCCCCTACTGGCCTGCCACACAGCCGGCCTGGGGAGCCCTACAATCCTCACTCATCCCTTGTGCAGCCTCCGTGGGGAACCTCCCATGGAGAAGATCCCATCTCTTCCCTTAGCCAGGGACAAGGAGGAAGTTTGTCCTGGGGTCTAATCAAAGTCCACTTTGCTGCAGCTGGAAGCTGTTGCTTTGCGACCTGCCTGTGCAGCGAGGGAGCAAGGTTGTTGTCCTCTCCTTTATGGCAGCCCCTCGTGTTTGCAGGCTGGGGGGCTGCAGCACCCCTTCTTCATCACCTTTTCTCCAAGCTGAGGATGGCTAGGGCTCTCTGCCATGCCCATACACTTAGCCTCCACGCCCCTTTATCATATTTCTTGCCTGCCTCTGGAACCTCTTTAAGTAACACGGAGCCCAGAACCACACCCAGGCCCCTAGATGAGGCCTAACCAGAGTGCCACCATCATCTCCCATGCCTTGCATCTAATCTTCCTACTGATGCAGCCCAAAATTGTATTTGTTTTTTCCCATCTGCACCATGCTGCAGACACGTGTCAAGTCTGTGATTTATAGAAAGTCAGCACCTTTTCCACAGTGCTCCCCACCCCCCCAGCCACTTGTCTCCTGTTCTCTTGCTTTGCTGTCCATGGCCCCTCCCACGGCGCAGCACCTTGCCTTTCCTTGCTTGTGCTTCCTCCCAAAGCCTCTGCCCAGGCTTTCACTCTGCCAAGATCCTTCTGCACTGCGCTCTGGTCCTCCAGCATATTTCAGTCCTTCCCAGTTTCTTGTCACCTGCAGACTTGAACAACACTGCTCTCCTGTTGCTCTCCTATTGCTTTAACCCAGAGCCCCGCCAGGCTTTACCTAACCCCCAGCCCAGCAGACGCCGCATGCCAGGCAACCTGGCCCATGCAGTTCTCCCTGGCTGCCAGCAGGTGGGGGCAGTGCCCTGGCCACCGTGCCCAGGCAGTCACAGATCCCTAGGTTTCCCAGTGCCAATGCCTAGGCAGGCTGGGGTCAGGACTCAGTCAGGGGCTGGGGGCGTGGGGGGTGACCAGGTGGGGGCAGCAGCTGATGCAAACAGCACTAGAGC